CATGCTCCCAGGGGATGGCAGCCAGGACCATGTAGAGACTGGAAACTGGTCCCATGAGGAATAGTTGAACAAAAGAGCTTCCCAAGGGAAGGAGCCCACACTCCTTGTGTGGTGACCTGACACTGGCAGGACACATAGGAAGGTTTTAGGTTTCCTCACTTAGTGGGAGGAGGACTTGCAGTACTTAGACGTTGGCTATTGGTAACTGTTCTTGGTTGAGCACAGCCCCGTTCCAGGCTTTGTGGTGAGTGCCCCGTGTACGATCTCATTTAATCCTCACATCCACCCCGTGGGTTAAACTGCTGCTATCCTCATCTCACAACCTGGGGCCAAGTCACCTGGGTGGTGAGCGGCAAAACTAGCACTAGAGCTAGAAGCAGGTCCAAACCCAGAGCCTGGTCTCCTGCTCCCCTGCAGTACCTGCTACGTGGTCCCACAGCCTGTCACGGCCAGGGACTGGCTGTCGTGTGTCCTTCCCATACCCTCCAGTGTGGCTACATCACATGGTGGACATCTGTGCTGCTTGCACTGTTATGGCTGGTCCCTGGTGGAATCTGATGCAGGTTTCCTTCTAAAATCCCAGGATAGAATATGTAACGGTGACGCCAGAAGGATTCCGGTACCGGGGCCAAATCTTCCCAACTGTGAATGGGCTCTTCAGATGGTTTAAGGATCATTACCAAGATCCTGTACCAGGTAAAATCTGCTCTCTGAATCCCAGGGTGTGGTGGAAGCCACATGGAGGCCCTGACTCAGTAATCACTGGCCTTCTGGCAGACAGGGTGAGGCCTAGGCTGCCACTTCAGCTGTCTTACTCCCACCCAGCCCCCCAGCATCAGGGAGGTCCTCTCCCACTGTGCCTGTGCCACTTCCCTTCTTGCTCCCTGAATGGGGAAACCAAAAATAAGTGAGTGGGGCGGGGGAGGTCACTGACTTGAGCCATATCCATATCCTATAGGCATCACCCCCAGCAGCAGCAGCAGGACCCGGACGCCTGCCTCTATCAATGCTACCCCAGCCAACATCAACCTTGCAGGTGAGGGGCCTGGACCTGGGACCACAGGTGGGACAGGTGGAGCTTGGGGCTGCCCCCTCTACCATGCCCACTCACGCCTCTGTGTGCTTGCAGATTTGACAAGGGCCGTGAACGCCCTGCCCCAGAACATGACCTCGCAGATGTTCAGTGCCATCGCAGCCGTGACAGGCCAAGGACAGAACCCTAACGCCACCCCAGCCCAGTGGGCATCCAGCCAGTATGGCTATGGCGGCAGTGGAGGGGGCAGCAGCGCTTACCACGTATGTCTCTTGGAGGGGCGGGAAGGGGACTCGTCAGCCTTTACCAACCTGTGTGCAATGGACTGGCCTCTGGCAGTCTGTGGTGCCCCCCATGAGGGGCATTGTACAGTTTCTGTGCCACCGCCTTAGGGGCCATCTCCAGTAGATACTCCTTTTCCTCATACTCATTTGCAGGGAAGGGAATGAGAGAAAGCCTGACCTTTCCACAGAGTCCTTTGGGGTCTTTGGAACCCTCTAGCCTAGAGGTGGTCAGGATTGGTGGGCCCCATTGGTCTCTGCTGCTTAAACCACATATTCCCAGGGGAAGGTCAGCCAGAAAGCCCTGTGCTGAGCCCACCCTCCCAGCTTGCCACCAGTTCACAGCAAAGCCAAAACCCATCCCCTCTTTACTCTTCACCTCTCCAGGTGTTCCCAACGCCAGCCCAGCACCCAGTGGCCACAACGCTAATGA